TAAAGTTAGCATAAATTTATGCTAAAATTTTATTTATAGTAAAAATTTATAGTAAAGTTCATAATAAATTTATAATAAATTTATATTTACAATAAAGTTCTTTTAGCATTCTCTTTTTAAAATGTTTGATATATTTAATATTTTTCGAAACAATCATTTCTTTTCTTTTGTTTTTTGAAATTAGGAAATAATTAAAACAAAAATATAAGATTATTTATTAGCGCAAAAATGTTTTTTTTAACAGAACAAAAATATCAAATAATCAATTTTAAGAGAAGTTGAATTTTCCAGTTTATACAGCAAAACGAATACAAATTATTTCCTATAATTAATAATAATAATTATTAGTAATTGATGATAATAGTAATTAGTGATAAGAAACAAATTATTTTCTGCCCTAAACAGGTCTTCTACATTTTAGGCTTTATGTTTTCCCTTTTTTTTTGGATAAACAAAAATGGCGCAAAAGATAAGAGATAATTATTTTGTGATAAAGTTTTATTTTAATCATAAATATTTGTGAATTTAAAAATGGTACGAAAGATAGGAAAACAAAAGAAATTAGGCATTTTTGATAATATTTCATTTTGATATTTATAATTTATTCGATCATAAGAAACTATATATTTCGAAAATTAACGTAAAAGATTATTTTGTTGTCCCAAATTTTTAAAATAAATCCTTGTAATTGAGTATAAGTGTAATTGTAGTCGAATAGAATAAATTAATTATCAAATTTAATATTGAAATTCTTGTTAATGAGTATAAGTGTAATTGTAATCGAATACAATAAATTAATTATCTAATATTAAAATTCTTGTTATTGAGTATAGGTGTAATTGTAATCGAATACAATAAATTAATTATCAAATTTAATGTTGGAATTCTTGTTATTGAGTATAATTGTAAGTGTAATCAAATGCAATGAATTAATTATCAAATTTAATATTAATATTCTTGTTATTGAGTATAAGTGTAATTGTAATCGAAACAATGAATTAATTACCAAATTTAGTACTAAAATACTAAACTTATTATTACTATATATAATTATGATTAAGAAATCCAACAATGATAAAAGAAAAAAAATCGTAATTTTTTATCATAGTTTTTCTAAGCAATCAATTTTCTTCATCATTTTGTCCATTATCAACAAGTTTCTTTTTTTTTCTTATCTTTATCGTTTATTTTTATCTTTTTTTAACCTACTAATTTTTGGTATTAATTCAATCAGATGAAAAAGAGAAATTACGAATTTATGGCGATCATTATCCGAACAAGTTATCGTTGCCATTTCAATAAGACATGTGAAAATAAACGGTTTAAGAGCTAATAGATATTCATTCATTCATTCCTGTCAGTGCTCTTCTCGTATCGGTTAATATTTTCGGGAAAAATCGGAATTAATTCTTTAAGAAATTTCTCATCTAAATATTGCTCATTTTATTTGTACTATTTATTTCAAATGCTCAATGCTTAGTTAGAATATTGTCATTCGATTAATATTTGATAATCATAATGAATTACTCCTAATATCGAAAAGATTCGATAATTTGAAATAGATTATTTAATAAGGATATTATCATTTGTTTAACATTTAATATTCATAATGAATTACTCCTGATATCGAAAAGATCCGATAATTGGAAATAGATTATTTAATAAGAATATTATCATTTGGTTAATATTTGATATTCATAATGAATTACTCGTAATATCGAAAAGATACGATAATTTGAAATGAATTATTTGATCTATTGGGAGAAATGATTTCGGAAAAAATTTTATTTAAATGTTAAGCCATTGTTTATCATACATTTAAAAGTGTGTTATCACATTTATCTCTTGCATGCCTGAAAACTCTTTATGTTATAATTTAAATTACAGCAATAAATGTTATTTTGATATTCTTAAATTTGAATATCATTCAAAAAAAACACCAAAGATCTTTTGGTATTTTTAATTTCGCATTTGATATTGATCAAATCAAAAAAAGAAATGTTTATCACAAATATGATTATCACAAGTACGATTATCACGAATATGATCACAAATATGATTATCACAAGAATGATTATCACAAATAGAGTTTTCACTTCTTCAAAAGGTATAAATAGCATTTTAATACTATTTTTATAATTTATAATTTAAGTGTAAATTTTTTTCAAAATAACTAATTTGGTTAAAAAAAAAATTTAAAGTAAATTTAATTAAATTAGAATTTATAAAACTTGTTATTTTATTTTAAATGATTAATTACATAGTTAATTTGAACATAATATTGCTAGTTAAAGAATTTACTTCATTTTTAATTTGAAATTTTAAGTTCCGCTTTTTTTTACAAGTATCTTTTAAACAACGTTCAGCAGGTAGTGGCAGATTTTCAGTTCAAAGAAACTGAAGTAATAAAAAGAGAACGATGATTCTTTCTATTCTTCATTATCTTCTTCTTCATTGCAGTTCCAGTTAGTAACGATAATATTATCAGAAGTGATAATTTAAAAGAAATGAATTATTCTGATGATATATAAATTCTGATTAGTTTCTAAGTTATGAATTCTGTATAACAGATTCAATTTCATAGGATGAAAATAATTGATAAATGATAAGATCATAAATCTTTCCTCTTTCTCTTCTTTCATTGAAATTCCATGATAATAGAGTGTCTTTTTAAACTTTTCTAAATTAAAACAAAAAAGTGATAAATATTATTTTAATTTAATCATTTATCAAAATTGATTTATATTTAATAAATATAAACGATCAATTGTGATTTTAATTATTTTAATTTAATTCGTTTATCATAAAACTGGTTTAGAATAAATATAAACTTGTTTAATTAATATAAAATTAATATAAAAGCAAAAATGCATAACTAAATGCATTTTACGAAATTTACGCTTACAATTAAATTCGTTGATTTTATTAGAAAGGAAAATCTTTTTCAAAATTTTCTTGTTTTTCTACAAAGTAAATTTATCATTGTACAACAATTTATACGTAGAAAATTCTTTTATTGTTTTAGAATAATTAATGATTAATTCTAGGGGTAATTTGTTTCAGTTGAATTAAAAATTTTACAACTTATTTTAAATTAATTATTTTAATTTTTCTTAAATTTGCAAAATAATTATCAAACAAAATATTTAGGTATTAAAAAAAAGGCAGTAGTAGGCCAAACAATTTCAAGTTAAATTGAAAAAGGTTTACTCATTTATTATTAGATGAAGAGAAGGTTGACAAATTTTTAATTACTCACATTTTTTAATTTTTCATTGTTTTTCTCTTTCATCTTCATTTACGAACAGTTAATTACACACACACATACACACACACACACACACACACACACACACACACATACACATACACATACACATACACACACACACACACACATACACACACATACACACACACATACACATAAACTACAGTAAATATCATTTTTCGTTTTATCGCAAACGGAATTCCATTTTTGAAAAGAAAAATTTTTGACAAGAAGAATTTAATTTTTTAAACTAAATTTGTTTAATTAGAATGATTGAAATTTTTTTTTTACAAAAGAAAATTTTTGATTATTTTTACTAATTAATTAGAAATTATAATTGATTTGGTATGATAGATAAATGATCGATTATTTTAATTATAAAATTTTCCTATTATTTTATTACAACATCAATGTTTTAACTTATTGAATAGTAGTTGAAGATTTAAATTGAATTTTTGAATGATTTCAATTTAGGATATTTATCAAATGTCATCCGATAAATAGTCATTAGTATATTGTTGTAATGAACAAATCAAAAACGATAATCTATCGTTTTAGATGATTGTATACCTGAAAATTGTATACCTTATTTCACGTTCAACAAATTTTCATTGTAATTAAAATAACTAATTATTAGTTGTTTAAATTTCTTCCTTATGGATATTAGTGTTTTTACAACTTTCATAAAACTTTGATAGGATATTTCCTGCTGAAAGTAAATTTTAAAAACTTATCTTATTTTCATGATTTCTACAATTAATAGAAAAGATCATTTAGCATTATTTACTTGCATGCAGTTTACAATTCTACAAATTGCAAATTATTCTGCAAATTTGAGATACATTGTATTTCATATATTTGTATCACGAACTATCATATTCAGTGTTGCAATTTCATTCGTATTACTATTATCGGATAATTTTGATCATCTTTTTGTCATAGGTTGATATTTCAGTGCAACTCAAAGATATCGAATCTTAGCATTTGAATCGATATTGTAGGAAATTCAACTATTAAAAAAATATAAGAAAAGTATTGCAAATCTATTCACACAATATAAAAGCTTAAAATTGTTGACAGTGATAAGTTTAATTTTTCTTTGAATGAAAAATAAAGCACTTAATTGTTTAACATTTTGAAAGTTTGCTATATTTCCTATAGGATAATTAGTCATACCGATACAATGAAAAGCTTAAATATGAATAATCAATTAACATTTTATATATTATTGATAAAATATGCAAAATTAAATGAAAAGAATAATTCGTCCAATTTAGTTTATGACTGTAAACAATTAATGAAACTAAAAATAAATAATTAAAATTAGATCTGATTTTTTGCCTCTTTTTATCTTGATCATTATCATTTAACATTCATTTTGAAAAAGGATAAATGAAAATCAAAGATAAGATGAATAATAATTAGTCATTACTACACGATATAATCATAATTAATTATTCTCTAAAAAACAAAGCGCCTAAATTATCACAAATATTTCTCATTTTCTTGTCATTATAAGAAATTCTTAATTGCTAGAAATTTGTTGTTTACATTTTTCAAATCGTTGTTTACTAATGTTTACTAATTTTGTCCTTTTCTTTTTTGTTGATATAAATTTGTTAACTGTTCGCTTTCTCATTGTTAATATTTGCCTATCGTCTTGAATGTTTACAATTTTTTCTTTTCTTTGTTTTTTGAAATTATTTATTTTGATTAAGGGTGATCAGCAATGAAAAAACATATTCCCACTACAGCAGCCGTAATATTTCTAATATTTGCTGTTGCATCTGCTCAACAACAAAATAAGCAACGTTAGTTATTTAAATTTAAAGTAAAGTAAAATTCAAAGTTCTTTTTTAAATTTAAATAACTAACATCAAACTGACTACAATAATGTAATCAGTGATGTTAGTTATTTAAATATAACTACAATAATATAATCAGTGATGCCAGTTATTATCAGTGATATTAGTTATTAAATATAACTACAATAATGTAATCAGTGATGTTAGTTATTAAATATAACTACAATAATGTAATCAGTGATGTTAGTTATTAAATATAATTACAATAATGTAATCAGTGATGTTAATTATTATCAGTGATGTTAGTTATTAAATATAATTACAATAATGTAATCAATGATGTTAGTTATTTAAATTTAAAGATAAAACTTAAAAATTTTTTTAAATGATAGATATTAAATCTATGTAATTATATTATGATGACAGATATATACAATTTATAATTTCCGGAAGATTCATACTTAATTTTTCGTTGACAGACAACAAGTAGTGATAGTAATTTCAATGTCATAAAAATACTAATAAATGTTTTCTCACTCTTTAAAATTATATCTTTCTTAACATTAAATCAATATATTAAAAATTTTTGAATGCCTTCAAATTTCTGCATTATATGGAATTGATTTTTTTATCTTTAAACTTTGCCTAAGTAACCAATTCCAAACTTTTAAAGCAATTTCAAAAAATCTTCAAATTATGGAATTCACAAAAAGCAATACGATGTATTTGTATATATCAGAATATCTATTCTTAATCTCAGAAATCAAAAAAAAAATAGGATTTATAAAATTTTTCTGATAAAATTATCAGTCAAATCAAAATCTTCGATCTTTGTTTTTTGGAGTTTCGATAAGAGGATTATCATTTGCAAAAGATGGCACTGTGTTATCATCTTCAGTGGACAACTCATTACCGATATCTGATGTAAGAACAAATAGACAAGCGATTGAACATCAGAGAGTATGGATTTATTTCCTATTATTTTTAAATTTTCTCAAGTTTCAAAGCTTCAAAATTGAATAGTCTCAATTAAATTAGATTGTAATAAATAAAAGTTTTTGACAAACTGAAGATTTATAAAATCAACATACTAGGATATATGTAATACTAGCAAGAATGAATTGAAAGTAGCCATAATTTAATAATTAGTGTTGATAACATTAAAGATGATGATAATTCTTTTTAGGGCAATATTTTCGGACTTCGTAATCATCGAAGTACTACGGCTCATTACGTAAACTTATCTTATCCAAAAAACTTATCCAAACCCTTAATTAAAGCATCAGCCAGTAATACCTTAGTTAAAGTGTACGGTGAAGCAAATCCAAGTAAAACGGATGAAGATTTATTGGATATTGAAGGAAATACGCAAATTATAAATGTCGAGGATCGTCCATCATCATTACTGCCATCTAGAGAGAGTATTAATCATTTATCGATAAGTGGTTATGGGCCACCGGGCCAGGAATTAGAAATAGCAGAAACGAAACAACAAGCTGAAAACATTATGCAAATGCAAGCAATACTGCGTCCTGAAGTTGAGAATCCATATGGTGTTCCAGATAAGGAAGTGATCACTGCGGAAACTCTGTCAACAAGTAACAAAGAAAAGGGGAGCAAACTTCTGTCAATCACAAATACTGAACAAGCTGTTATATTAAACAAAGGAGCTGCAAGCACTAGAAGATATGAAGATTTTAGGGAAACAATAGGTGTAACAGAAGATGAATCAAATGTAAGTAAGATGGAACTGACGGAAGGCACCATTGAAGCTTGTGGGCAGAATTGTAAAGCATCCACGGAAAGCTTAATGGAAACGGATGAAGGATTTGTTGAAACGGTTGCTGAGTCAAGTGAGGCTTCTACTGACAGTCAAGAAGATAATACAGTATCATCAACAGGTGGTAGCAAAGAAAGTTACGGTGTTAGCACCGAGCAGTTTGAAAGTACGAGCATCAGTACTGAAGCTACTGAAATGTCAACAGTTGAGGGGCAGAAGATAGAATCAATTCCTAAAGAATATGGAGTAGTATCTGAAACCGAGGGACCGGAAATAGCACTGAAAACAGAAGTAGAAGAAACTTCAAGGGCGGATACTAAAGTTACACCGTCCGAATCGGTCACAGAATCGTCTACCAACGGTGGAACAACGCATATGGAAGCAAAACCAATCGATGAGCAAATCGGTGCGAAAGATTTCGAATATGAAGTGACTTCTAAAACTATCAAAGAGCAATTGACTGCAGAGAAAAGTCCCAGTATCACTACAGAAAATTTGCCAGTAGCTTATAAAGTAGAATCAACTGTAATATCTGAACTCGAAGAGAAAACCTATAGTACTGCAATTTCATCAGTAACCGGCGAAGAGACAAAATATGCCGGACAAGAAAAGACGTACAAAAACGACGGCAAGCCAGATTCAAACACTGAAGGAATCTCTTCCTCTCAGCAAATGATTACGGAAACGAAAGTATCCGGAGACAATGATCAAAATCAAGAAAATATCACCAAAACTAAATCAGAAATGAATACCGATCAGTCGTCCATTTTAACAACACGGTTATCGGGAACTATGGAAGTTACTTTACCGGTAACGAGTAGTACTCCAGCGAATACTTCGTATATTACTAAAAACACTGAAATCTCAAACACAGTAATTTCTCCAGTCATTAAAGAAGGTTATGAAACCTACAGTGAGCTAGAAGATAACGCAACAAGCAGTAAAGTAGGTTTACCGGCACTGAATAAAGAATCAGCATCCCAGCTGTCGAAATTGATCGAGGAAACAACTACGTTGTCTAGTACGAGTACAGAGACCAAAATGACAAGCGAAAAAGCAACGATAGCACTGGAAAATACAGTAGCAAAATCGGAAGACTTGAAAAGTTTTACTCCTGACGGAGGAATAAGTGAAGCTACAAGACTTTCCAAGGAAACATCACTCGTGTCCACTGAACAATTACCAGAATATGGTGCAGTAACACAAGATTATATTGCGAAACCAACACACCGAAAAGGAGAAGCCATAGAATTGCAAAAACCATATGAGGGAGTTGAAACACCTGCTGTAGCACCACATAATACTGGAACGAGTTATGCTGAAGAGAAAGTTGCAAAAGTTGTACTTGGTGATACATCAGCAAAGTCAAGCGGAGTACTTACTACTTCTGGATCTGATGAATATAAGGTAATTAAATTAGCTGAAGCATCAGAGAGACCATTAGAATCCAAAAAAGATGAAACAGCATCAGAAGAAACAACTGTGATATCAAAATGTGATGAAAGTTTAGGATTAGCATGTAGTGAAGCAGGTCCTAGTGAACAGCTATCAAATACAGAAAAACCAAAAGTTATTGATGCAGAAACACTTGAGGAAACCACACAACCAAATGAATTGCAAAAAACAATGGTTTCTGAACAGATCATAAATTACGATGGAGAAATTGCAGCATCAAAATCAAGCATGAAAGAAACGAAAATTGACAGTGCAACAACTTCATTTATTGAACAAACAGCTTCAAACGAAACAACTGTACTTAAAGAAGTGATAAGACCTGAGGAACAATCTTCAGGTAATACAGAGTTATCAGTAACTACTGATGATTATAAAGAAGCATCGTCCAATCAAGCTACAACTCACAGCGAACAAGTAAGGGAGTATGGACTAATTACATCTAATCAAAATGTTACAGCATCTGAAGCTAATATTACTTCTGGAAAAGTTGTGAATGTTGAAGAAAGTATATCAACAACACTTCAAAGTAAATACGCGGATATACGAACTAATTCCGTAGATTTTGGATATGGTGAAAAAAGAATCACTGAGAAAGAATATCCCAGTAACGATAAAATCGATGCCGTACCGAATTCATTATCTAATACAAGTGTCGAAGAAGCAACAGAAAATCCATGCTCTGTTAGTAAATCTACTGGAGAAGCTAGTGTAACGAAATCTATTGAGAGAATTACGAGTGGAAGAGTAACAACAATAAATGGAAACAATGGAAGTCCGCCAGGGTACGATCCTATTGGAAATCTATTTAACTCATCGAGTTATCATCCCGCAACTGACGAGACAACTATTGAGCCGTCACGATCTAATAAAAAATTGACCGGAAAATGTGAAATTGTCGAAAGTATAACAGTTTCAATGCCGAAAACGAGTGAAATAACATCAGTGGATGAGGGAACTACAAGCCTTGCAAGTTTGACAAGTGAGAGTCCAGAATCAGAAGTTACTAATTATGCAGTTTCTGAAAGAGGAAAATCCACAGAAACTCCAATCAATAAAACAGTATCAGTTCAAGCAGAATCTAACAAAATCTTAACAGATACGAATGATTTTGGTTATTCTGGCAAACTTCATGAGGTAACGGAAGCACAATTAATAGGTCAAAGTCAAGATTCCAAAACATTTGCAACGGTAACGGAATCTACCTTAACAACACGAGGGATGGAGTTTATTAATGGGATAAAAACTGAATCTGTCCAGCAGCCTTCAGCAAGGGAAAAATCACCAAGAATTGAGGCAGGTACTACAACTGAAAGCGGTGAAACTTCTCAACAATACCACGTCGAAATTGGCGACAATGTGATATTTTCAAGCCCAAATAATAAAACCAAAGAATCTACCGGAGTTCCAGAAATCAATAGACCTGCAGCTCATAGCAAAACATATTCACAGCAAACCACGGAAAGCACATTAATGCATATAATAACAAATGAAATAGAAACGCCAATACCTTATAGCATAAATGAAGAAGCACTAAAAGTTGTTGCATTGACAAAAGTAACAAAAAATGGTCCATCAAAATTAGTCGGTGACATAATTGCTTCAACAAAGCAAGCAAAAGAGAAAGAAGTCACAGAGAATACAGAAACTACTAAAGAATTTGAAGCTAAAAGCAGTGGATCTGAGGAAACAAGTGAAATAAGAAATGAAATGGAGAGCATGTCCTCAGAATCTTCATTGGCAAGCCTGGAATCCTTTGAAGTAACAACCGCTAAAGGAAATACTGAATCAGAGTTTTATGCAGAAAATACTGCAAATAATCCGGCGAAAATACCTATGGGTCCTCAAAATCTCGGATATGGAAATGGAAATGAACTGAGTGCATTCATATCATCAAGTATAGGATCAGTCACGACAACAATAGCAGAGTTGCTAGCCAATCTTACTGAAACTTCCACTGCTTCAGAATTATCAGCTAGCAGCGAATATGCAAATTCTGAGACTTTCACTGAATCAGAATCTAAAAGTAGTGAGGAATTTAGCGTAACTGTTCCATCAGCTTCATCAAATGCATTAACCGAATCATTCAATGTAATTCAAAAAATGTTAACAACGTATAACGAAATTACTAAGGCAGATGATAAAAAAAATATTTCAAGCAACATTCCGATTAGTGCAAAACATTTCGGATACGAAGATGATACAGAAGAGGAAATAAGCAGCAGCGCTATATCTAGTTCAGAAGGTATGATTTTTGACTTTTATCGGTTATTCCACCCCACGTATTATTACTTCTCGTTTTTTTCAGTAACTCTAGTCAGTAACTAGAACGAAATAGGACTTGGAAATACTAAACCAAACATTTAATACATGATCGAACCGTTCAAGAGATTAATTTCATTATTATTATTTTTGTTGAATAGATCCAGGAAACGACTAATATGTGTATTAAATGTTTTTAATTGAATTTGCTTCTTTGAATTATCAAGAAATGACAGAAGAATTATCCGTAGGTAATCTCACCTTTTTTTTTATAAATGAATTAATTGATATTGATTTTGATATTTTAGAACAAAAGCCAAGTGATCAATCAGTTGTATCAAATACAGGTCTTTTTTGTTGTCATGTTTTTGTTGAATTTTTTAATGACTTTAATTAAAAGTGATTTAGTAAAATTAAGACAAAAGTTGAAATCTTTTTAATTTTAATTGTATATATCATTATTATAGCTGGTTAGTTATTTATAATTAGCTTATCAATAAGCTGGCAATATTTATGTTAGGAAGCACGAACAAAATTCTTTCCAATTTGATTTGAATTTCAAGGAGTCACTATTAATTTCAAAATTTCTGATAGTTCAATCATTTTAAATTTGACCTTTTTTTAAACCTAAAAAATCAACCGTTGAAAACGAAAGTATTACTTATTTTGTTCACAATTTAATATATCAAATTTTAGTATTATCAAGCATGTCATCGATGAAAAGTAACAATTCAACGGGACGAAAATGTAAACTTTCTTCAAGCTTGATTTTTATATTAGCGAAATAAAAATTTCGTTGCAAAAATTTTTTATATTAATTGCTCTTGCAATAATATGACGGGGAAATAATGTTGAAGAAGTATTAAAGTAAGCTTGAAAAAATATCAATTATTCATTAATCAAGAACAAAGACTTCTTGTGTATGAGATATTTTTAAATATTATTAAAAGCATCCTGTCAGACTTAAATGATGGATATTAACTTATCATAGGATGTTAACGTCACATATCCGAACAAACTTAAGAACATTTAATACATACTTCGTTTATGATCTGAGATATCTTATAACAAATAAATTATTACATCCACATCAAAATACTAATAGATACTTCGGTTATGATCTGAGATATCTTGTAACAAATAAATTATTATCCCACATCAAAATACTAATAGATACTTCGGTTATGATCTGAGATATCTGGTAACAAATAAATTATTATCCCACATCAAAATACTAATAGATACTTCGGTTATGATCTGAGATATCTTGTAACAAATAATTTATTACATCCATGCTTTTTTTCACTGCAAAAAATTTTCTTTTAAGAAAAATGGAAAATGATACTGTTTATCGATTGCTATAGAATGTTTAATAAATTTTAATAGGTTTCCAAAATTGATCATCACAAAAATTTCTCCTTCCATTCCTTCTCTTGATGACTGATCGAGGAAAAAATCCCAAAATATGTATCTTTTTTAAAGTCCCGAAATCGTTTTGTTCATTAATATTTTACAAACTTTTGTAGTAATATAGCTAAATTATTAGCATTTCATTCGTGAACATTCATTTGTAAAATGAAGAAATTTGTAAGTCGAATTTTTTTGAAATGTTAGCTAAATTAGCAAATAATATAATTAGGTTGAGAAGTTAGATGGAATTTCTATTATGCAATTGCATGATATCAAAGTTGGTTGGAGTTGCGTTTGCTCGATTGTTCGATGCGGAACACTTTCCGCAACAACTACACAACTATTGCGGACTAACAAAATTATTCCATTCGGCTAAAACATAGCAATAGTAGTATGCTAACTTGCTTGAAGTTTCTTAGGCAATATATTCCCATTCACTTATTCAATCGATTGCTTAATTTGTTAGCATTAATTTAGCTAATAAATAAGCTAGTGGACATTTTTCAAATAATTTTTCCTTATCAGTAAATCTTTCAAAATAATCTCATAGCTATTTCAAATCATGCAAATTAAAGCAATTTCAGGGCGACCATATGCCATAGATTGTGATAAAGAAACTGATGAAAAAGGTGATCTTTGCAAAGGATGGGCTAAAGCAAACTTTTGCGATACACATCCACCAACAATGTTTCTTTTTTGTCGGCTAACATGCCTATGTATTGGACCATCAACAGATTCAACGAAATGATCAAAAAATTTAGGAGCTTCAATTTACCTTGGAGAAAGATTAGTGTTTAAGATTTTAGCTCAGAATCTTTCGGCCATTTTTCAGAATTCTTGAAATTTGCTCTAATCATTTTCCAATAAAATCAAATCTAATAATAATTATTTTTGTATCTCAACTTTTACTTTTTAAAAGCTTCATTCATATCATTTAAATTTATTCCTTAAAACAATTTGATTTCTTTCAATTCATATAATTACTTTTAATTGAATATAATTGAATCAGTAATTTTGTTGGGAATGTGAGCGAATAATAATAATTCATATCAATCTGTACGAAAGCTTTTCGGCTAAAAATGATTACTTTAACGGTTAACACTTTTCCGGTTTAATTAATGAACTTTTAATTTTTAACACTTTTCCGTCTTAATTAATGAATTCTTAAATTTTGCATTTTTGGAAAAAAAATTTCGAATTAGTTACATATGAAGTAGGAATTGTGAAATTTTTGCAGATATACTACTTTTGAATTTTTGTGAAATAATTGTTTGTATTGAAATCGTTATTACTTTGTATTATCGTTAATTTCACACGAAGATATTTTATTATAATTATGTTTGTTTAAAATTGCTAGCAAACATAATTAACATTCACGTTATGCAATAAATTTTTCAATGCCTTAATCAATATCTTTACTATGTGATCACAGGAAAACATCAACAATTCCCAAATTCAATCAATTAAATTATCAAAACAAAAATTTTAGAAAAAGGTAGATTGTGAACTTAAGTAATAGTTTTTATCTTTTATACTTTCATTTTAAAAATTCAATCAAACATTGCATAAATAATTATTTTTAATAATTTAAAAATTAAATTATGAAAGCTTTGATAAGATAAATGAGATAAATTCGAATTTTGTTGAAAATAGATTTGTAAACAAGGACAGCTATTATTGATACGATCAGTGGATACCATATTAATGAGATATATGGATCGCGACATCATTAACATTTAAATGGTACAGCATATCATCACAACATTATTATCATCCTAGCATTAAGTATTTTAATTATTTTATCTTAAAATTTAAATCCTTAAATTTGAGTACATTCTTAATGATATATTTCTAATAGTAATAATGATAATGAAGAAAATGAAGAAAAATTTTAAATAAACAATGAACAAAAAATATTTTATTATATTGTATACAGCTATTGCTTATAGCGACAACAATAATTGAAGATTCGACAACATCGGTATGTGTGGAATATGAAGATGATGATGATAATGATGAATAGTTTAGACTAAAAAAACATCGATGAAAAAACATGGTTGAATTAAGCTAGTAACAATTAGACGCCTGAAATCTGAATCCTAAAGTTTATTTAACCTTTTTATCCGAAAATTTTTTCCCACAACAAATGTTTAATTTATTTATCCCATTTATTTATCTAAAACCAATCAAATTTGCATAAATTTAAAAAATTTTTCTAGTTAAAAAAGATGCATGATTGATTAGGCTATTATCGCCTTTTAAATTAATTATTATGCTTAGCAATTCGACGATATTTGTTCGTCCAACGTTCTTTCTTATTAGCGTCAACAGATATATCAAAAATAACGGGATTATTTATTAGCTGCAATCGATCATCTACTAATGAACAATTGACAAATTTTGTATAACCATCCGTTGTACAGCCATATCCTAAAATAATTAACTTTTAAAATAGATTAACATTTATCAAATGTTGGTACGATTTTAATACTATCAAATTAACATAAATATAATATCGCTAGATGCAATATTACATAATAACAATTTTATGATATGAGCTAGAATCAAAAAAATTATTTTACTTCTAAAGTTCGATATTATACATATCGTAATCTTTGGTCTAAGCTTAGAATAAAAAGCTAATTCATAATATTTGATCGTGTTTATTGTGGCTAATTTATATCCTTTGAAAAGTAGTAATAATCAATACTTATTGCATTAAATGTTATATAACAAAATCATTGCTAGTGAAAAGAAAAGAAAGAAAAAACTGCATCAAAAGATAATTCATTTTTCGCTTAGCACTACTTTCAGGAAAACAAAACCTGAATGAATATGACCAAAAACATGATACTTTGGCCGAATACGTTTAACAACAGAATTCAATAATTCAACGCAACCAACATGTGATCCCGTAGGTAACATATCTCCATGACCTAAAAAGAAGATCTATCATTACAAATTATATAGCACTATTAAAATAATAAATGAAAATTTTAATTTTTGGAATAATTTTATCCTCTCAATAAATTAGAAATAAATCAATTCAAGTGAAAGAGTCTCATCCATGATAAATTATCAATATCAAAGAAAATTTTTTAAATAGTTCAAATTATAAAATTACACAAATATTGAAATAAAGAAGCAGTAAATTGTTAAAAATCAATGATTTAAAAAATTTCCATCCCTTATTATAATTTGGAACTAAAATTATTAATTGAACTAAAATCCTTTAATTATTCGTTAAAACAACCTAGCGGAGGTGTATGAGTGATGAGAACATCGATACCAGCTGGTATATCATTCCATTTATCAAGTAGAGCTTGTCCTCGGGGCAAATTAAAAGCCATATCATCATATTGTGGTAGCCTAAAATTTCATCATATATTAATAGGAAATTCTGAAATTTGCCTGAAAAATTAAAACAACAATGATACTTACATTGAAATGCTCATTTCAATAGCTATTCCTTTAAACATAACACTTATATTTAGAAATTAGGCTTCTCAATTTAATTGATAATCTATCCTCACCAGTGTATAACTTAAAATGATGAAAGATTAAATTAATATCATTATAAAAACAAACATTAAATTCAACAATCTTCCGAAAATTTCCTCGTTAATTTCAATTAAACTACTAATTACATTTAAACAAAAATACTTAAATGAATTAAATAGGTAAATGTGAAATGAATTTTATACTTTGATAACTGAGCCAACCTAGTAAGACATTTCATAATTACAACGGTGTAGTGGTTGGAGTTAACAGGTAAAAATTTGTTAATGAATCCGTAGAAATACGCTATCACAATATATTAAACTAATTATGCGATTAAAATGAAATATTAACCATGGCGTTCCATAAATTTGAATACCAAATAGTTCCGTTGAATTATCTTCTAAATAAATTACATTTTCTAATTTTGCTTTGGCATTTTTCATTTCGTGTAATGTAAATTCATTGCTAAGAGTTTGCTTCACGGCTAATTTCTTCTCACCAAATTTACTTCCTAAAAAAATAAATTTAAATACTGCAATTGCTAATAGCTTGCTTTACACTACTACGATTAACAAAGGAATGAAAATTTTGAATGATAAACACATCTTGACTTACTTGATTTACATTAAACAGTTAAGATTAGTTTTAAATATGAATCATATCGTCATAATATGAATTTAAAAAAGAATTCTTTGGCTTTCGTACTATCTCTTTCTTAAAACTCATGATACATATTTTTAATACCCAAAAAAAAGATTTTAAATTATGAAAGATAATTAATGAAAATTAATGATTGTAAATGAAAAATGATTCTTTATATTTTGATTAAATAATTTGATTAAAAATGAGTATTATTAGTTGAATTGAGAGTTTTGATAAATATTTCGCATGAAGTATATCAAGCTGAAATCATACAAACCATTAGCTTTCATGAAACGATCATCAAATGTATATTCATGATTACCAGCAATTACCACTTTCAAAGTATGCGGAAGCTGTTCTGCAACGAATAGAAAAAAGTTTTAAGCATTTATCAGAATGCTTTCAAATTTAAAATATTTCAGTATCATAAAAAAGTGTATGGTAATCAATATAAATTTGATATTTGCAACTTGTGCGAACCTTCGTTTTTGCTTTAGAATCAAATTTATGGTTAAAATTCAAATTTGTAACTTATCATTTATCACAAAATGAATGAGTAAGTTCGAATTCTTGTAAAGTGCTCTTTCCTAAATTACTGAATTGAAGATAAATTAGATTCAGGAATATTGAAATTTTATCAAATTCAAATATGCAAAGAATTTTAATTGAAAACTAATCTTATAGTTCAATCAACAGTTATATACACATTTCAAATAATTTATATACTATGGGTTATTAATAAATAAATAGAATAAAATTTACAAAAGTATGGCACAAAATTACAACATCTAATAATTTTTAATATGAGTAGCTTTTTAGTAATTACAAATCATTTAACTAATTACAAATCATTTAATTAAAGTTACTGTTTTGCAGTTTACGAATCAATTTAAATTGTTTGGATTTTCAGATTAAGATAGGCCAATGAGATAAAAACCTGAAAGTTTTATTTCTTTCTGCCTAAGATGAATAATGATAACATTAAGTTGTAATATGTAAGTTAAATATGATTTAAAATTTTGCAAAATTTTTGTAACAGTTTAAGAATTCGCTTAGATTCCAAATTTACATTAATATATAATTACTGCATTGTAAACTTATTGCATTAGAAACAAATAATTGAATTAAGAAGTTAAATTTTTGCGATATTGAATGACTTTACTTACTCAGATATTTATTAAAAAGTTCGATTTCATCTGGCCGACCATATAACGTGAAATCTCCTGCAACGATAAGAATATCGCCAGGTGGAACATATTGCGGATCCGGAAATGACTTATGAAGACAAGCCATACAAACAAATCGCACAGCATCTTGTTTTATTGGTGTACTCAATTTCATCTGAAGATTTAATTTTAAATTTAATATCAATTTAATAGTATTTAAGGTTATAAGTGGTTAACTAGAAAATCAAACTTTGAAATTTACAAAAACATACTATCACTAGTAATTCTTGCACAGTATTTATTAGCTTCAAAATTTGTCAAGGATCAAAAATTTTAAAAACAACATTTTTAAATTTTTACAACTAATTTTAATTTAATAGTAAAATAAGCTGATTCTTGCCTGTCTTACAGCTTTCACAGGACGATTATTTTTAATCATCTCCCAAGCTATTAATGGATCATTGGTATATTTGTGTGGAGTAATCTGTAACAATCTAATATTTTAAATATAAGCAAATATTTTCTTTTAATTTAATTATTTCGTAATTTTTATCATTTTAATTAATAAAAAAATATAGAATGAATTTCGATTAAAATTAAAATCTCCTAAAAATTTTTTATTATTTTTAAAGATTTTTGATTTTTGCTTACTTCAATTGCAACATTTGAACGTCGTCTATGCTTCGATGAACATGATTGTTGTTTACGATATTGAGTGATATTGAAAGGATCGCAGTAAGGTGATGGAATTTCTTCATCATCATCTATCTTCGTTCTGACCAATTCTTCCTTCATTTGCAAAATAAGAGGCGAAATTTCTGAAAGCTTCATTCATTTTAAATTTCCGGCTATCATAAATATTGGAAGAATGTCAAAAACTTCTCTATACTTTGTAGAATATTTGGAATATTTTAGAAAGCTAAAATTCATTACTAGCCAATTTATTATTATTTGTCATTTCTAAAATGCTATTAAACTTTTCAATTTATGCATTTATGATGAATGAAATCTTGAATCTTACTAAAGCCTAAAATATCTATCAATTATAATTTAACAAATTCAATCAGTTTTCTGCCAATAAGATCTCTTTTTTTTTTTATCAAATAAGTTAATTCCAAACATACAGAATTAGTGGAATTGTTTGAGCTAATTTCTAAATTATACTTATTAATAAGAGTATATTAGAAGAAAATTAAAAAATTAACAAAAATTTCAAACCATCTCGTCCACTACAGCCTGGTTCGGCAGTTTCACAAGTACGTTGACTAAATTCTCGTGAACTTTTGCTAGTTATGAATGGTACTGATTTGCGCCGTTCTTTGGATCTTGCTAAAGCCTAAAATATCTATCAATTATAATTTAACAAATTCAATCAGTTTTCTACCATAACATCTTTTTCTTTTTATCAAATAAGTTAATTTCAAAATTATCAGAAGATAATCAGAAGATATTTTAGCCAACGAAAAAAAAAAAACTTTAAGACATTAAAGATTAAAAATTGTGGAAATTATATTGTGGTGTTTGTGGTGTTGAATGATTTCCATCATCTTCGATTGGAATTTTTTTGCGGTCTTATGAAAGTGCTTAATTTTCAATCATTTGACAGCTGCCAACAAAAATTTTAAATAAATTTTAGCGAATTGAAAAATTTGTTAACTTTGGTGAGAGAAATATGAAGTTAGAAGTGTAATAAAAGTAACGAAATTAAAAATATGCAAATATATTATAATATTTATTTTGAGAGCTTAAAAAATATAATTAATTTTTAAAAAATAAATATAATTAATGTGTAAGTATATTGTAATATTAATTAAAAAATAAATATAATTAATATGCAAATATATTATAATATTTATTTTGAGAACTTAAAAAATATAGTTAATTTTTAAAAATAAATATAATTAACATGTAAACATAATATTAATTAAAAAATAAATATAATTAATATGCAAATATATTATAATATTTATTTTGAGAACTTAAAAAAATTTAATTTTTACTTATTGAAAATTATAGTAGTGAAAAATGTTGAATTATTCATCGATGTATTTGTTTGTTAAATCTTTATTATTTATCTTGCAATGCCAATTAACGAAGCATATTTTCTAATCACATAATCATTTTTAATTTTAAGATTGGAATGTGGTGAAGTGAAATTGTTTAGCAATTATTTAAATTGTGTAATTTTAAAACAAACGAGACAAAATGACTTTTAAATTTGCAGTCTTAACTTCTAATTGTACTATGATAACAAAAATTATTATAGAAAGATTAGAAGATTGTATGATTTTGGAATTTATTGATTTATACTAAAAAATCTACAAATAATATATTTTTCAATTTGAATTTCAAATTTTACTATATGAAAAAAAGAGCATCACTTTTAATTAATTTAATTATACCTTTCTAATCATACCAGTTTAATTATAAAATGGTAAATTATACCTTTTTGTAAACAACAAACAAAAAATAATAAACAAAACAAACCAGAAACATAATGAATGAGGAAGACTGTTGATCTGTCAGTTAGTTTTTTAAATTTTTAGAGACTGTTGACTTTTTGTTATTTGCTATTCTACACTTCACTTCGTATCCTGAATATCCTGAATCTTAAAAGTTTTCATTTGAAACTTAAGATGTACTCTGTAGAGAGCGAATATTAATATCACATCACCGATACTGAAAATAAAAATACGATCAAATTTTGAGAATGAAAATGTATGAAATCATATGCTTCTAATTTGATCAAAATATTTTGAAACATTTTAGGAAATTATAGTAAGATTAAATTTTGGTATCATTCATTTCTTTTCAGGAAGGAATGATTGAAAATTGCGGAAAAGGCTTTCTTCGAAGATAACTATCATATTCAAGTTCATAAATCCATGTTATTCAGTTCAGAAGTTTATAATCATTACATTTGTCATATCACTTCCAATTAATTAAGATATATAAAGAGAGAAGAGGAAAAAAATTGGATAGATTTTTAATCAAAAAGTTATGGCTTTATGTAAAAAGTTTAAAGAATATAAATATTCCCCAACCATTGAAACAACTGCTTCCATCAATATAAAAAAATTTTCCGATAATTAAAACAAATGCTTTCGTCAATGTGAAAACGTTTGAAAAGACAAGGAAACGTGCATATTAAAATAATTATTTTGAGTTAATATTGGCTTAATTAATTTGGATAATTAAATTTATTGATCATAATAAATGAAGTTGAAAATGGATATTGTTTTTCATCTTGTAATATCTCAACCATCATTAAATAACACCTAATGTGAACGTTGCACTGTGAAATAAGAAATAGAAATACCTGAAATAAAATCTTTCAGGAATATTTGATAATCAAAAAACGGATACCATCGTATTACAAAATAATAAAATTAAAATATTAAATAAATTACTAATTTAATTTGGTGAATTAGCTTAAAAATTATCTAATATACAATGTATGAATGGAAAATAAATATTTAGCCTAAAATTTGTAAATTTCCTAAAATTATCAAATATCAATAAAATCACCGAAACTACTATCTTCTATAATTACCTAATTAATGCCTTTAAATAATCTCCTAATCAATGCCTTAAATGAAGCATTTAAAATGATGCAGCACTATTCCATTATATCCATTCAAAATATTTTAAAAAAGAAATTTCATCCTACCACATTCATTTTGCTCTCTTTCACCTGTAGTAATGGAAACTGAAAATCTAACATCAAAATGACTAAGTGATAGAGGAATAATCTAACGTTACTTTCGATAAATCATTCCTCTCACTAATCTATCTATTCACATTAATCAACTCCCTCTCTCTCTCTCTCTCTCTTCCTCTTATTATACCTTTTTCCTCTTATATTAGTTTAACAAAAAAAAATTGCAACCAAATTACCAATTTCTAGAGATTTAAAAAATGGATTAAAAAATTAAAAATTTTCGTAAGATAATTAAAATTAATTAACTGTCAATAAAATGAGTGGCAAAAAAGAAATGAAAGAAAAGATAACTAATTCCCGTAAAAATTAATTCATTTCATTCGTTGATGGTTAGCTTTTATCTAACCGATTTCTTTAAACTAATTGATCAGAGTCGAATTTATTGATTGCAATAGAATAAAAGATTAAAAATTGATGATTCCTTATGCTGTTGAATTTTTAATTTTATTATCATCATTAATATAAACAATCACCATAATGAAATAGATTGTTTCAAGTAGGTTTGAAATTGATATAATTAATAATTATTCCAAAACTTTGGCAATTAATTAATAACGATTTGCAGTTACACCAGCATTATACTAATATAGCAGACTGGGAACTAGATCAAGCAAAAAATTTAGGATAGCAGTCCAACGCAGAAGGCGTTTTTTAAAACATGGAATCTCCTGACCGGAAAAGTCAAATTGTGGATGATGCATCAGCACAGAAGTTCCACTCCCGGAAATCTGCAGTTTATTTTAACTTGGCTCAAATATGTCTTTTAATAAGATAGAAATTTTGTCAAAGTCTTTTGCTAACGAGAAATAAATTTGCATGTTGTTGAAAAGAAGCCGAAAGCCGTCTTCAAAATCCGAAAAATTCTTGAGGTCATTTTTTTTATCCGATCAATTAGAAGCATTTTCTTTAAAAAATGTCCTGAATAAAGATCAGGTAAACGTAACAGATGGAGAGAAATTTCGGATTCCAATTCGCCCAATTTCTGAAGCTCTTCATTACGCATATACATGATGTCTGTTAAACCCATAAAATGTTTAATAGTAATAATAATAGATGATAACAATAATAATGATGATAATAGCAGAAAGCGAAAAGCCAACCAAAAACAACCACGAATCAAGAGAAGTAACCCTCGAAAATTCTGAAAAATTATTAGAAAGTAAACAATAAATCCCCGAAAATGAGCAGTCCTATGATTCAAGAACAAGAAAAAAACAGATTTGAAACAATAAAGGAAGTATTACAACGCAAGCAATTATCGTAAGGCACTATTCCACATTAATCCCGCAGAAATATCGAGACGTTCTATGAATATGTGCACTAATTTTATACTATTTTTGGTTGCAATTTAAAAAAAGAAATAGGATTCCAAAATCAACAAAATTTATCTATGTCTTCAGATTTGAAAAACTATAACTTGGGATTATCTTAAATTGCACATGATGAAAGAGAACGCAATCTTACCACATGAGAAAATAACAATGAAACAACTGCAAACTGATGTTGTCAAAATGAAAACAATACAACAAATTCAATCTATCGAACTTTAAAGTTCCCAAATGTATCCAAATGTGGATCATCAAAATTTTTGTAATGTTATGAAAAAATTTAAATTGGTCCAGAAATATTATAATTTCCATGCCATCTTATTTATAAGCACGCAGAAAGCATGTCTCGTAATTCAAAGTGATATAAACGTAATTAATGTTTTTTGAAGACAAATACTGACAAATGATCGAACTAATTAGTCACATTATCACTTAATATGTACGCTTTGAATGCAACTTCAGGACCAAATCAAGCTTATTAAAAAAAGAAACACTAGGCAATTTGAAAATCATTGTAAATTGATTATAAAACTGAGCATATCTGCACAATAAAAATTGATCAATTGCAACGCCAAAACAAGGAAAGGAATATGATTACAAGATACTTCACTTTTTTCTTTAAAAATTAAAAATCAATAGGAAAGGAGAGAAAAAGAAAGGCAACACTAGAATTTACAACTAGTTAAAATTTGAAAAAGAAGCATGTGTTGCTTTTTAACTGAAAATTCCAAATTATTTAAAAACTATTAAAATTCCAAATTATTTAAAAACTATTAAGGCTTTGAAAAGTATGATAAAGTGATGAAGTTATGAAAAAGAGATTTGAATTGTGTAAAACAAATAAGAATAAGAAATACATTGTACACATACAATATTTGAAAAAGAAGCATGTAATATTGCTGTTTCATTGTCATTATTATCGATGTAATTGTGGGATGGTAACACTCTATTAGTGTTGTTTTTATTGCGATTCATCGGTTTTATATCCATTTCAAGATTCAAAAACGGCGTACACCGCTCCAAGCACCAGCAGCTGCAGCTGTCGATTGCGCACTACCCATTGCTGGAAACTGCTCTTCGGATTGCATATCTAGCTGCCAAGGTGCTCCTTTAATTTCCACCTCAACACGAGGTGGCTGTGGTGGCTGTTCTGTGACACGTGGAGACATATACTGACGACGTTCCTTAAAAGGATGTCTTAAAAAATTACATAGCTAAAAACTGGCTCCTTCTCATTCACAAAAAATTTGGTGATAAGCAATTCGATATTATTGATACTTATTCCAATATCTGAGCTCAGCATAAAACAAACAATTATCAGTGTACAAAATGAGCAATTTCTAGTACTAAATTAAAAACAAATGAAAAGCTAGTGCAAGTTAGATATTTTAACTAAGACTCTTCAGTTAAATATTCCAGCCCTTATTACGGATTCAAAATAAAACGTTTTTTTTTTTTCTATAAAATACATACTCCAGCAGGACGAAATAAAGTCTCAGCACTTCACGTTATTACATCCGCATGGTTAAGAAAATTAAAATTCAGAAAAAAGGATGGAAGTTTCGCAATATGACCAATTACTTGTATTTGCTATTTGCTAACTGACACTAAACAAAAAAAGGCATTCATCTGCCAATTTTTCGCACAACTCAATTTAAAAACCTGTAAAAATTCCTCCTCTTCTCGACGCAATTGCTCAATGCAATCGTATACCGCATCTTCATCTTTGCCTGCAATCACAACCAGATTCGGATCTGGATCAGTACTCCTTGGTAGACGGATTTCCACTTTGAACTCATCCATCACCTAAATCATCTAAATTATGACATGTTTTCACGAGAAAATTTTCTTTTGAGCTAAACTATTTGACTGTTTGTGATTAGTGTATTTTCAAAATTCAACATTTTTTAATAGCTTGAAAAACTGCTTAATGTTTGTAAAATGATAATCGAGAGTCACAGTTAAAATGATAATCACAGTTATTATTAAAGAACTTTTATTGGATAGGAAGCGATATTACAGATAAAAATTTTTGATACGAAAATGCTGTAGTCGATATCTTGGAAGAGCAACATTTTTTTACTAGAATTTTGAGCTGTGAAAACAATTCTTATGAGTATACTAATTTTTCAGTTCATATGAGACTACCTTTTTCAGATTACGACCTTTCTGGCCTATTAAACGCGGATGAAAAGTTGCATCTAGAAAGATTTCTTGGGTGAAAAGAGACTGCGCTTCATCAATTATGGCTTCCATCTCTTCTTTACACGCGTTGCAGTTCGCCTCATAACCTAAAATGACAGCATTTGAAACCCATTAATTGCTGACATGTCTTTAATCTGAACTTTATATCTTAGAAAACACTTCCAAATTTACCGGAAAATTCTTTCGTTCTCTGGTTTTCCTTTGTATTATTATTTTTTTCAAAGATGCGAAAACATTAGCCA